GGAAGCAGAGGCATTATAACGTAACTGTCTGAATTTAGTATACGTGAGAAAAGCAAGTTAGAAGTGCATTGTTATTACACAGACCAAAACAGAAGCTACGTAAGTATTTTACTTGCAACTGTTCCATTTTCAGCGCGCAGAACTGTGGGGCATATTTTTTCATTCATATTAATTGAATTTTAAAGTGACCTTGTACATGTATTGATTTGAATTAAAATTTTCTACATCAAGGACAAGTTGGCATATATCCTACAGGCGAAATATTAAAAAGCCAAGTGCTGTCTTAACAGGGTATCGACAGAAGAAGTTGAAATTTAATGGGAAAAGTTGGCTTAGAAGGGGAAGTGTTGCCTTTTTGCAAAAACTGAGAGGTATCTTTTCCGTATAATGAAAGAAGTTTCTTGCAGTTGTTATCTGTGGAGATCCAGGGGCATTTTATTGCCTTTTAAAAGGAATCATCCAGATCAGCGTTGACCTCCAGAAGGAGAGACCGGCACTACCGGAGTCCAGAGCAGAACTATCAAATTACTTTTTTTTTTTTTTTTTCCTAATCAGAACCTTTAGTATTTTGTTACTTTCTTTCAGGTGATCTGTCGGGACATATTTAAATGACTAAAGGTGTAAATTATGTTCCATACATAGCTAATTGGAGACAAAGTTCAGAAAAGATCTAAGTTGAGCAGGCATTGCGAGAAAATTGTTTGCTGGAAAACAGGATGTGTGAAATACAGCTGAGACGAACACAAAACCATTAAGTCCTGAAAACCGTTATGAGTCTTGATTATTAGAGGAAAAAATAAAAAGTGCTCCATTTGTGGTATACAATACAGAACGTGCTTTATCCTGAAAAGAGCTGTGGAAAGAGACTTTTGGCTTCCAAATCCAACAGCACCCTCAGCCTGGTGACAGGCTGTTGTTCGTTCTTTGTACTGCTAACACCATTCTTCCAGTGCTGTTAGAAGGATGAACTATAATTTCTCTGAGCTACACTTGCTTTTACAAAATTTCTGTTTCTGTCAGACTTAATTAACGTGTACCATTCCTAATATGCCTTCTAATGCAGTCCTAGAACAAATCATCTGAAAGTCCTGATTTTGTCTTCCAGCCACTGAAAAATCTACAGGAATCCCCTGTCAAGACAACAGTGGCATGAAACAGGAAAGTTTTCTATTTCAGTACCAGAGTGCTGTAAATAAAGAGCTGATTCACACAACCTAGCACTGACAGGGTAGAAGTTGTGACATATGCCAGTGTCCGTTTGTAGTATCGTGATGCTTGGGTACCCCAGCTCGCAGAGTGGGACCTCTTTGCACAGGACTTTGCGTAAGTAGAAATTGCAGTGATAGTGCCTTCTTCAGGGAGCTTAAAATCTAAGTATACATCTAAGGATGTTTTTACACAGCTCCTTCTGAATGTAGGGGACAGGAGGAAGGAAACAAGCGGTGCTTGTTTGACATTTGAATAAGTGGGCGATGGAGGCTAGCGTCCCAGCCCCATCTGCAGAAGCTGCCCTTTCCATACTGCGTGATGGATGAGAGCTGGGATCAGGGTAGCTGTGACAGATTTTGAAAGTGAGGAGTGAATCATTGGAAGGATGTGAAAACAAATGACCTGGAAAAAGGCAATGGGCTAATACAGGAGCGGTTTGCAAGGGTTTGTGCAAGTAAATCTTTGGGGGGTTTGGGAGGTGGGGGTTGAGGCCAGCGGGTAGGGATATGTAAGTAAACTGGAGTGCCAAACATTGGATTTTTCAGCATGTTATATCCCACTATTCACTCTGAGCAATTTCAGGAGCATCCCACGCAGCCTTCAGATCAACTTCATCCAATTTTTTTTCTGCCTGCTGACAATGTGAGATATGATGAATGCAGAACGTAAAGGAGGAGGACAGAAGTGAGCATCCATAAAAGCATATGAAGGGAACTGAGTTATTATATATATTATATAAAATATTATATGTAATGCTGGATCTGCGTATTTGTAGAGCTGTCTTTGCACTCTTCATTAAGAGGGGTTTTTTTTCCACTTTTTTGTTTAGAGTTCCCCTTTTTTCTTTTTAATTTTACTGTATATGGTTGATGCTCAGTGTGAGGTTCTGAGAGTCAGTTCTCTCAGTAGGCAGTATCCTAGCATACTGCCAGTCTTACTAAGGTAGAAAAATAATGAAAAAAACCTGTTAACGCTCAGGTTTTTTTCAAAGTGTTTAGCTAACTCTGCAGCCAGACACTGTCTCTCCAATTCCGGTGGATGATCAGCATCATAGATCAGGCATTTCTGGATAGTGGCTTTTTTTTTTTTTCTTTTTTGGTAAAATGGAAGGTGCTGAAATTACTTGTGTCTTTGTTCTTTGCTACGGTATATTCTGCAGGGCACTGCTACTTTGCTAGTGTGTTTTCTGTTACCACTTTTTCATTTACTGTCTTTTAGTTTTGTATTGAATCTAGATTTGAGATAGAAAAATCGGATCTCTGCATTAACCACTGCAAATCTGTGCACTGTTCATTGCTTTTATTCTGCTGCTGTTTGTATTGGTCCCTCAGTCTCATTTTGAATAGAAGCCTTGAAGGTATTGTTAGGTCCCTGTTGTTGCCAAGCCTTTCTTCAGGTGAAGTGGCCAAGAGTAATAAGCCAATCATGATCAGAATGTCTGTCAGTGTGTATATATAATCATTATGTGGTAATTTCTTTATTTTTCTGCCCTTAACCTAAAACTCATATTTTACCTTATCTGTGCATGATTTCAGATATGTCCATAATTTTACTTAGATCTCCTCTTTAAAATTTTGCATTCCGGATCCTATCATCATCCTGTATAAGAACTTTACATTAACCCTTCCAAAGTACACTGAGGTATATGAAACCTAATGCAGGCAAGCGTGATAATTTTGCCCCAAAACCCCCAGCAGGCAAAATTAAGCCTTGGGACAGGGCATTTGATCTCACAAAAGTGTCCTGGAACTAAGCATCATCTCACTGACTTAACAGCATCTCTGTGGGGGGTTCAAACCCTCATGCTTTAAATCCCAGAGAACAGCATGTCCACTGGACATATTTAAAGCAAGGTGTTTCCCCCACCCACTCCCAATATGTGTGGAAACTACTAACTTCTGGATGTGTACTGCTAGTATGTGATATCTACGGTGTCCTTTAGTGTCCTGGGAGCTTGCAGTTTCTGAGCAGGCAGCTCGTCACTGATGGCAACATTAGGTGCTGCAGAAGTGCTTTGCTGAACTGTTGTCCCTGTCTTGGTGGACCTCCCTTCTCAGATTGCTTGTTAGCAGTGACAGTGTTCTGAAGTAGGCATGAGCCCAGGTTCCTTGCTCAGTGCCTCCCTTTGTGCAGTTATCTGGTGGCCTTTCATCCTCTTATGTTGATTCTCCCATTTCCTCACCACCACACACCCTCAAGTCCAAGATGGAATGAAAAAATTGATGTTAATTCTTTAAAATTTCTGCTAGCTGAAATAGTTTTGGATAACAAAGGTGTAACACATGTTCTCACGGCAGTCTTTCCTCCTCCCAGACCAGCTATGTCTTATAACAGAGTATCTCAGCAAATGCTGTGTTTAGACCCAAACTCACAGCACCTGATATCATGATACTGTTATCTGAGAATGCTAGGCAGCTCCATACGTGTTCAGCAAATCCCAATCTATTGTAGGAAGGCAGGAATCAGAAGAAGGTGCTCGTGGTATGCAAAGCTTAGGCCTTGATACCAGTTATCCGTAAGTACTTCAGCCTGTAATGTTTTTTCTTTAAAAAAAATTACTAACCCCCCTGACCTTTTTCCCTTCAAGTTCTTTCTTGTGCAATCATGCCTATAGCCTGTCTTCCTGAGGTCTGTCATTGACTCCTTTTTCCCTTCTCATCCTTTCCTCTCTACCTCTGTCACCTTGTTCTTCTCTGTTGCTTAGATTCTTCTGCCCTAGCATTGCTTTCTCCATCTTCTGCATCAAATTGTCATCAGTTCCTTTTAGGATTTGTAACTCTATGTACTGCTATATAGTTCGTCAAGGTGGAAAAATAGTATTTACAGTAGTTTGAGTAACTGTTCTACGAAGTCCTGTATTGTCACGCCATCCTCCCTCTCTTTCCCGACATGGAGGTTTTGTGCCAGATTTCCTCTCTCCCTACCTGGGGAAAAGGGTCCTGCCACTTCAGAGCTGAAGCGCCAACAGTAGAAAGCAGGCCTCTGCTGGTCGGGAAACAGATTTAAATAAAATAATTGTTTGTTTCTGCTCTCGATTTTATGCTTTTTTGTGCAAGGAAAAACTCTGCAGTAGTGTCTGTATAACCAAGCGCAAAGACAAAAGTCCTTGTTAGACACACAACAATATTGAAGGATGAATTCATCTTTAAAATGTAAATTGATTTTAGATTAAAACACCTTCATTACCGTGTTTTGTGAATAACATAATTTAGGCTTATTTCTGTTTTTATACCCTGACGGACCATGCGTATTTGCTGTGATCCTAGTTTTATTCTTTACACTTTTCTGCTTTTACAGAGGAGTATTAAACCTTTGAAAATGTAACATTTTGACTTTTGTAGCTGTAACTTTTTCCTTTCTCCCTCTCAGCTTCTTTGTAAATAACTTTGTGGTTTTATTGCAGCTAAAATGTTCTACAATAAACTCATGGCATCCTTTTAAAGGATAGCATTGGAAGAGTCTGATTCTTCTTTCACATTAATTTTTCTCTAAGTGGAGTTATTGAGTTGCATTGTTAATGAAATTGAGACTGTGGCAGTGTCATGTCTACATGGGAGTTCTGTGAATTCATACATTTTTAGTTACAACTGAATGGGGCTGTTTGTTCTGCGCTTTATAGTTTGTCTCATCCTCATAATGTGCATGTAACGTTTCAGATCTTTATTTTGATCTGTCTTTAAAATATTGAAAACTGAAATTCCCATCAACTTAAGCTGTTAACTTGGTGACCTTGTGAATTCAGACATGAGCTCTCCTTCAGCTTGCTTCTGTCCTTCTCTTGCTCTTGACAGGTTACCTTAGGAAAAGTGTTAAAAGTGATAGTGGTGATGCGGAGTCTCTTCATTGACCGGACCATAGTAAAAGGATACAATGAAAATGTCTATACTGAAGATGGCAAGGTAGGTTATCATGTATGCAGTAGTGTTAAACTTTATTTTTCCTGGAATTTAAATGATGAGGAACAGGTATCCCATCACAAGTATGCTAGTAACATAAAACTGTCCAAGACTTTTTGTGGATGTTTTGTAAAATGTTCAGGTTTACATTTATCATGCTTTGCTTGGATTTTTCCTACCCTAATGCCTGACTTCTTTCTAAGCTCTGATACCCTCACCTGAATTCTAATTTATCACCTTGGACTTCAGTTGCCTCGTTAATAGTGTCTGCTGAGGAAACTTTTTTAGTGTACCAGCACAGCACTAGCCCAGGGTTCAGATTCTCTCTTCTGAGAGCCATCGGGAAATCTTGGGCTAGTTTTATGCTCAACTAGAGATGCTCAGCTATGAGAATCGTTGGTAGGTAGTCCTCAATGATTTGCTTGTCAGTAATAGCACATCTTTAACAGCAGCTATTAAAGCAAGTGTTACCTGTTTCCACAAGTGATTTGTTTTATGAACAATTCACCCTGCTTGAACACTCAAATTTCTTTTGACTGCACACGCTCCATATGGCTCTGTTTAGTGCATCAGAAGATGTTAATGGGACCTGACGGCCTTCAGCTCAGTTTGTTTCTCTTTTCAGGTGGAATGGTCTCTCTTACTGAGACATCCACCAGGACTCTTCTCTGCCAGTAACAGTACTAAATACCTCCATCTTTCACATTTTCTCTCTGGAGCGTTCTCCACTGATTATGAAGCCTATTAAAATACCGAGTTCATTATATCAAGATGAGTACTTGGCACCCATAGGCCATGTTATAATGAGGTGAGACTTTCTTTCCTTTCAAAAGTGATAACTATGTTTTAGCACACAGTGGCACGTTATGTACTGACCCAGAGTTCAGCAGCTCTGAGTCTGAACCTCTCTTCCCTAGAAAAGGCCAGGAGCTGATCTGTTGAAGAACACAGTACAACTATATTTCCCAGGTGACAAACTCTCCCTCGAAGGGTGGGGGATTGACCTAGGAAGTAGTAAAATAACGATTGCCTGATTTTGGAGCTGCATTATTCAAGTATGCAGGTTTAAATACCGCTTTGCAACAGGAGCAGCTGTGCCATAGTCCCTGTGCATTAGCATATAATCACAGACTTAGCTCACCAGCCCTTCTTCACCCCAAGTTCTGCTTGAAACTAAAATGATATTCTGTCTAGAAAGCATTGACAGTGCTTGATGGATTCCTATGTCACATTTCATTTGGGTGTGCTGATTTTCTCTGATGCATCCAGTTTCCTTTGAAGCTCCCTTGAAATGTAATAATACTGTATTTGCTGGAAAGCTGCCTTTGTGAAACTGGGCATCTGGTATTGGGCTTCAGTTTAGTTTAAGGTTGACTCCCTTGAGAGCTGTATACCCTTTCCCTGACACCATTTGCTGTGATGGGGAGAGCCGTACTCCCACAAGCTGGCTTTGGGCTTGGGGCAGTAGCCTTTGCGTGTAGTCAGTGGGGAGCAGTTAGCTTCTCCAGAGCATCGGTGCTAACACCTGGCTTGTTTTCTTGCTCCAAACCAATCTGCAGAGGAGTCTGTATTTTCTGCCGAACAGCTTTCTGTCCAAAGTTAGGCTGTGTGACTACTCCCGAGAGGCTGGATGAGCCTGTGTCATTTACATGGCATTTTGCTGTATTGTTGGGCCATCCCAGGGCCCTAGCAAACCTAAAAGGTCTGCGTTTTAGATATAAATAGGACTTACGTAGAACTGGAGTTGCAGCCACTTAAATCATGAGTAAATTTGCCTTGGAAGATTGACTAAATGTGTAGCTTGCTAGTTTTGCCAACTGGAGCGCATATTGACAAACAGTGGGCTCCCTCTTTTTCACTAATTAACTACTCTGGTAATTGGAGAATAAGAATAAGATTGTACTCTTGCAATGATTCGCTTTACTCATTGTGCCTGCTGGGAATGAGCGATTATAGTGAATTGCAAACATAGTCCAATCCAGTTCCTTCTCTGTCGCAACAGATGCTGCTGGGAAAGTACCCCAGTGAGATTTCACCATGCTGTTCTAGCTCCTCAATTTCCAGTCTGAGCTGGGGGTGGGGGGGAGCAGCAGCATTCAGAAGAGACACAGAGGAGTAGGACAAAGGCGAGGATCTTCTTTATTAAATAAGAAGAAATGTGGAGAATCCTTAGGTTCACAGAAGGTGGTGATATTTTTTCCATTGAGCAGTTCATTCAGTAATTGCTGGGTTTTGGATTCGCTAATGTATTCCTAGGAACCACTTAACATTTGTAGGCAGTGATGATATTAACTTGGTGGTTTCTGAAGCTCATGTCTTTACTGTAAGCCATGCTGAAGGGACACTGGAATAAGTCATAGCATCGTTGTGCTTCTTTACACTTAAATAGCAGGATGAAGGTCACTTGTATAATCCTCCTAAGTACACAGTGCAGAAGGTCCATTAAGCAGTAAAAGTGAAATTCACTGAGGGGCTTTCTCAAAGTAGAACAGAGATTTGGGTAGGTGAAGCAACATGAATAAAATCAATTCCTTATATATTCCGCAGAAGGAGAAAGGGCCATCTCTGAGAGACTGTATGAACACGCAGACAATATGTGACAAATGGACTGTGAAACAGAATAGAGGCCAGCCACTTGCATGTGGATCAGGAAGTGGCTGTTTATCTCTGGAAGTACAACTTCTATCAAATTTTTTATTACTGGAAGGAGAAAGGAAAGAGAAGAGTGCAAAAACAGCAGTGTAGGTGTCGATAGTCCCCAGGTCTGTTCATCAGGCAAGTCTAGAGGTGCAACCGATTTGGTGGTCTCTCATGGTCGTTGTGGAACTGTGCGTGGTGGCATAGTCTGGGACAGCTAGCAGATATACAAGAAAACTGGCGCTGTGTTGTCCAGGTTGCTGTTGAAGTATGTTGGCGTAACTGTGAAAGAGCTTCGCTCAGTTTCTCCTGTATTGGAGCCTAGCTAAACTGGTAGCTCCATCATATATATTTAAAAACCTTCAAAGTGAAGGTGGAAAAAAAAATTAAAAGGCAGTCTTAAGCCTAGTAATAGGGTAAAATAAGACACTACATTTTAGGGTTTTATCTTTTATTTATTTATTTATATATTTTTTTGGTCAAACAAAGAACCAGTGCGTGTCCTAAGAGCTTCATGTACTTCCCGTGTGAATTATTCACTAACCCTGCAGATTATGTCTTTGCCAGGTTGCCAGCTGCATAACTTGCACGTTTTTGGTGACACTTTGCAAAAACAAAAGGTGAAATCTGGCAGCCTCTGTCATGTAGTCGAGTCTGTATTCTGATTGTTCTGCGGTCTCTCTTGCTTTCTGTACTAACCCACTGCACCCACCACAGACTGATGCATTTTAATGAGTCCTGTAGTTTTAGTGGTGGCACTGTGCCACCCTTAATGTCAAAACTTTGACATACTCCTTCTACACTGGAAGTTAACCATGGATAGTAATTAATTACTCATGTTGTCCAGATTCCTGAATAAATGAAGCTGTGGAGCTCACTCTTGCAGGGCAGGCTTATCACGAGCTGAACCATTAGTAGCCCTAGTCTGCCAATAAAAATAAAACCGTATTGGGTTTTATTTGGCATGATAATATCCTGCTTCTCTTTGCCAAGAAGAACCATGCCACAATGTACTTGGAGTGGGTACTTAACATCACTACCTAACCACGTTCCTATTTTTGCATTCGTTAGACTTATCTAAAGAAGTATAAGTGTCTCTGTTGAATTATCATGTTAAGGAACTTGGGTTATGTTAATGCTCTGGCTTCATTAATTACCCCATATCAATAAGAAAAGGCAGCTTTTAGCCTCCTAGCGTAAGAGAGGAAAAGAAATAGTAGTATCAAAGGAAAGCTTCAAAGACAGTCAGAGCTGTCTCTTGGGTAATTTCTGATCCCTGCATTCTTTCCACTTCAAAGCTGGATGTGTGTGTGTTTGGGTGAAGGGGGGGGGGGGGGGGTTGAATCCGATTTCTCTAATAAGTGTTGGCACTGAACCTGTTTGATATTAGATGCAGGGAACATTCTGATTTGTTATCGCCTTTGAAATCGTTCAGACGACCTTCAGAAAATCGCCTCTTGTTACTTATGCTGGGGTGGGTGGGGAGAGTGGGGCACTGGGAAAAAAAAAGCCCCAGTTTAATTCACATGCAGAGGATGCCCTGAAATTGTGCTTTCAGCAGTTTTTTAGTTACAAATGTGTATCTTGATTGAAAGTGAAAAGTTGAAGAATAATAGACCTGTAACAATGCATTCTTTAATCTGCCTCTGCCTTAATCCTCTGTTTCAGGGGGAAAGGTGGGCAGTCATTCAGGATGTCTGCATGTGGTTTGGGGATTTTTGGTGTTTTGGGGTTTTTTTTTGTATGGTGTTTTTTTTTTTTTTAATGTTGGATAACATCATGTCTGTAAAACATTCATTACTTTTTCAGCTTTTCAATCTTCATGCCGCCTAATGAACAATCAGAACCTGTTGGACTCATCTTAATGCAGTATATGAAGTGGATTTTTTTTTTTTATGATCTTGCCTCTAAGTAGAGAGGATCGTGTACTTGGATGGATCACTAGAGATTAGCAAAACCATATATACATTCCAATTATAGCAACTCCATCTGTCGTCAAACAAAGTCTTAAATTACATGAAAATAGTTGAAATAAATTCTGTATTCGTTCTTTATTTTCAAACGTAGACTCTCCTGATATGGAAATAGGATGCTTCCTTCCCTACAGGCACAGGTGTGTAACACTGTTAGTCAAGCTCAGGTCTGAGACTAGGCTGGGCTACTGCTTGCGGGGGCCTACAGTCTGAGTGTTATTGGTGTTCAAGCAGATTCTTGAGCCTACCTTAAGAGCCGGTAATGAAAAAGGTTTGTAGTTACGTGCCTTAGGGTACTTTTGTCTTCACCTAACCTGGGAAAGGCTTTGAGACATCAGCTGCCTTTTGTCTTACGGCAAGGTCAGCCTCCTAAGTCACGACACATCCATCCTGAAGAGATTTTTTTGAAATAATTAACTTTACCTCCTGTTAAACATGAAGTCTAGAGACTCAATAATCGCTCCTTTTACTGGTATTCAGAAAAGTGGGCCGCTTAACATTATTGCTCTTAATGGCACAATGCCATTAGCATTGTGAACCTTTTTAACCGTGTGAATTAATTACTTGGGTTCAGCATCCTTCCCTTTCTCCTCCTTCATCCCCCTCTAGTGTGTTTTATTCACTTCATGTGACTTATTTCATTTCAGGCTGTAACCTTTGTGCCTTTCAGAAGACGTGCAATTTCAGCTAGGGCTTATGGGCACTACCATAAGTCAGAATTAAGATAATTAGCTGTACTTCATAATAAAGGCGATAAACCCAACTTCTACTTTTAACTCAATTACTTTCAGAGTGTAAAGTTAGCAGAATGTGTCCAATATACCACGCCTCGTTTAGTCTGAGATTTACACTCAGTTTGGTTACTGTTACCTATTTCAGTTTTTGAACTGAAGTATAGAGGATGGAGGTGTAATGCCATTAATGGAATGACAAAATAATGCAAATGCAGGATTTACGCATGTATTTAAGCATAGGTTTCTTAGAGAAAGCTGAAACCGTTATATGTTTGTTTATTGATGATTAAAAGTGTGTTAGCAATTGGGGAGGGGTATGCTTTGTAATCCAGAAAGTTTGTGCCCTTTAGAACCAACCCAGCAGTAATGAATGGATGTGCTAGTTTCCTATGCCTTTATCTTAGTGATACTATTCACGTGCACAGTTTTTAAAGGGGTTTTAGGTTGCCGCACTACAAAGATTTGTTCCTCAATTGTGAAGATTAAAATAAATAGTTTGGTCTCGTTTGTTAGTTTTATGCGGTTGCACTTTTTACCTCTAATTTTTGAACCACTTATCCAACTTCAGTGAAATTTAACACAGTTTAATATTTTGTGTTCTATATTCTTCCAAAAGGCTGAACGCAGGAGGGAGAGATGGATTAGTGTCTCCACTGTGGGAAAACACGTGTCACATCATATTATCAAGCGCTAGAAGAGCTATACCTGCTTCATTAATTCACTCAAAAATTGTTTTTATTTCATCAAGATTAAGATTCCAGAGGTTAATGTTGTAGCCAGCACCTTTCCTGTGGCATATGAAATTGTTGAGTATAGTGGGATCTGTAGACAAAAAGTAATTTGCAAGCTATGGATTGATGGAAGGAAATTCCTCTTTTTTTCCTGCTTCTTTTCCTTGACAAGAGTGCAAGATATTCCACAAGGATGGGTTAAAAGAGCAGCAGCATGTCGATTGAAATTGTTTAACGTGCAAGTCATTTGGGTGTTTAACAAGGGCAGGCTTACCTTCTGTTTTTCTGTGGTTAATAAAATTTACTGCAGTTTTGTTTGGTTTCTGTATCATATATCGTTGAACATGCATTTAAGTCATGGATTTGTGTGGTTATCAACAACCTTGAATCTCTGTTAGCATGATTTTCATCTGGAAATGTAAATGCAGTTTCCTAAGGGATGTTTTATTTAGCCCCAATAGACCAGTGCTTTGGTTTAATTCAGCTAAATGTTCTTTGTGTCATTTGTAACTGAATCACTTATTCAGACAGAAGACAAGCATAAACTTAGTAAAAATGCCCTTGTTTTAGAGACAGACTGAAGCTGATGAATATTTACGTAGATCAGCACAGCCTTATGCAAATGAAGATTTTGCTATTTTTAAAGAGAACACACTGATTCAACAGGTCTTATATATGTAATTTTGTATTGAAACTGTGATGAACTGTGTTCCTTCTTTATTGCAAAGGAAGTCTTATGTCATTGCATCCCTTTCTTGGATTGCAACAGGTAAAGGTAATGGTTCAAGACAGAACTGAAGAGTAGGATAGATCTGTTTGCCTACTGTCTTAAACTGAACAGCTGTTTACCTTCTTTTTATTGGAAATCATGTATGGTAATATGTAACCTTTTTTTTCTTACGGTAGCTTGACATATGGTCTAAATCCAACTATCAAGTTTTTCAGAAGGTAAGTGCCACCTCATTTCTCTCTATATAAATGTCTTTAGGTCGTACGCAGAGTTTATTTTAAATACCTAGACCCCTATGTAAAAGAATTCAGAATTTATTTCTTTGTCAGTCATGCTTAATATGATTATAAAACTTTGATCGCAACTTGCAAATAAGAATCAGTAATCTGTAGTAATGGAAAACCATGAGCAGAAAATCAGATCAATTCAGCTGTTATTATTTAGTTTAGATTTATTTCCCATCACAGATCCAATCCATGGTTTGGAATAGGAAACTGGAGATTTTATTACTCGAGCCTTATAGTTGCCTGAGGAATCTTCAGGTACTCTTTTTAGGTGAAGTCTTTGGGAGTGCTGTTTCAGGTTTGTTTGGGTTTGGTTTATTGTTGCCCCAAATTCTGCAGGCTTGATTTTAATAAATTTGTAGAACTGGCTTCCCAAAATGTCTACTTTTTTTTTTTTTTTTTTTTTTTTTAAACTGAAGTGATTTTACTTGCTTCTCTTCCCTTGGTGGTGTAAGCAAAGGGCATGACTTACGGAAATGAATGGTATTCCACAAAGTAAGAAGAGAGCAGTGAGTGAGTGGGAGCAGTAAGTGTAAAACTGCTAAGAAGGTAAAGGTGTGTTTTCGGATAGATCTATATCTTGCTATTTTCAAGGCAGGCAAGAGAAAATTTCTCTTTGAAGGCTTCTTGTCAAAATGCTGTAAGTTCAGATTGATCTGGCTTCAAATTCCAGTTTCCTTACCTTCAAGCCACAGTTCAAGGAGCTTAAGTCTCCAGCGAGTGTGCTAGCTTCCTTTCATCTACTTTTGTAGTTTATGTAACAAATACGGGTCAGGGACTGTAAAGGGCATAAAAGCCGGGGTCAAAACTATGGCATATTGGCTGTGTGTGTGCATCTTCCTTCCAGGATACCGTATGCAGTCAGAAGCGAAGAGGTTTGACCTGTGGTATTAGCCTGCTAGAGATCAAAGGACAGCTTTGGGGGAGGCTGGTTGCTTTCCCTGTCAGACTAGCATTAAAGCAAAATTTTGCTGTGGTCGACTCTTTACTCCAGAGATTAGGGGATTAAATAATCTTTTTTTTTTTCCCTTCCTCTCTCCACAAATATATTCTCTATGTTGTGTCAAATAGGGGAAAAGGGTGGAAAGTAAAACAGCTGAAATTGTAATTTTCTTATCAGTATATTTTTATGTTATTATTGCAAAGGAATGAATTTAAGGTTTTGTAATAAAGTGTATCTTCTCCAATTCCCCTTATGTGTTCAAGGTTGGAATCTCATTTGGGCCTAGGCATGGTCTTCCTGAATGTTTTAGCCTAGAATAACTTGGAAGGGTTAAGCTCTATCACCATCAAAAGTAGATAGGTTTTGAAGTTCTGGTTCTACAAGTTGAATTTTATATCTACAAGATAGCGAACGGTGTAGAATAAATGTAGAGATTTGCAGAGGGGCCCAAGTTAAGGGCTCTTGCAAGTGTAAGTACCTAGAGTGAATGTCTCTTCAGGTCCAGGTGATGGCCTTCAGATCAGAAATGAAAGAGTTCAGTGAGAAAATGTGAAATGCCTGTGTTACTGCTGCCCATGTGGCTTCGTTGTGGATAAATAGGAATCTTTACACTCTAGTTCTACTGTGATACTGCAATTAATTAACTCAATACTCCTTTAAAACAGTAATTTCAATAAAATGCCTAGGATGATAAGTAAAAATATGTCAAGAGAGAAGATATATTTTTATTATGGTCTATCTGTCTGTGTGCATGCCTGCGTGCGTATGAAAGAAGCCACTGGTGTCTTCCTAATCTTCTACATTAATACGTTTCAAAAGAAAAGAAAAAGACTGCAGGAGAAAATGTTGCCCTAACAGGCAGAGCAGCTGCCTGTACTCTAGGTTTTATACATTGTGTTCCCAGCTCCGTCACTGTGTTACCTTGGGCAACTTAACCTCTCTTTGGATCAGTTTTCTGCATCCCTTCAGTTGGGGTTGTACTTGCTGACTTCACAGGAACTCTTCAGCTGAATTGGTTGCATAGTGTTTTTAGATTCTTGCATGAAAAACATGATAAAAGTGCAAGGTGATAGTACTTTGTAATCAATAGATGCTGGACTACTGAGCTGATGGTTAAATAAGTTAAGGCCAGGACCTGAGTTGAGTTTTCAAATAGATGACAGAAAATGCTATGGTTCTGCAGAGTAAGTTTTCTCATTGTGGTGCTGCTCTTGGTTTGATTTTCTTTTTAATGTCTGAAGCTGCACTTGTATCCGTTTTTAATACCCTAGGATAGTGATTTAGCAGTAGTGAGATAGAGGAAATCAGATAAAATGATGTTAGAGAAACTGTTTTACTCTTGTTACTGTTGTAATACTGCAGGATCTTCAGAACAAATGTTTTCCTGCCATAAAAACGTTATCAGTAAACGTGTCACAGTATATCTCCAGTAACCCTGGTGGGAAGCGCTGGGCCGAGAGGGGGAAAAATAGGGACTAGTAACTGTTCCCACCAAGGAGGTGAGCTCTGCTGCCTTTAATACTGTAAAATCAGCCGTTGCTTTGAAGGGCAGGGATACTTCTCTTTAAAAGCTGGACTAAGCTCTCAAAGTCTCTCTTCAATGATAATATAACAACATCTGGAGTTCACAAGGTACCTGCCGGTGGTAGCTGCAAGCCTGTCAAATTCTCACAGGGTTGCAGCGTGCCTTTCTAGGTTAAGGACCAGAGACCTCTGATCTTCAGTCCAACCCTGTCAAATGAAGCTAAATTTGTCCTGACTTTTGTTTGCAAACGTTGGCTGTGTCAGCAAGCCTTTTCTCTCTCCTTATTAAGCAGGATACCCAAGTGTGTATAATTTGATGGGGGACAGCTGCCAGTAGACCCATTACTGTTAAAGTGTACAGTCATTTTCTGAGTTCCCTGGAGACTTCTTGAATTTGGTCCTGGGGTGAATAGGCTTTTATAGCCATTGAAGCCACCAGCAGGGTTAGATTCAGAGAATGGGACTTGGAAATAAAAGAGGGAAGGCTGAAAGGGTACAAGCACAGGGAGCAAAGAAAAGGTTTTCAGATTTCCATATTTGTCTGACATTTAAACTCGGCGGGAGCAGCAAGTGTTTTGATCTTAAACCTCCTTATTTTGACACCTTGCATGTCTTGATCCAGTAGCATGACAGAAGGAACAAAACAGGAAATAAGGAAGTCTTTATTGGATTTAAATCTTGGTGTGAAGAAGAACGTACGTGAGGAGCGCAGAATTGCAGGTCATTGTGCAGAGGATTAAGAGAAGATATTGTAGAGAAAGGTGCAAGATTCATAGCTTTGTATTCAAAAAAAAAAAAAAACAACGGTGGAATTGCTCTTAAGAGATAAAAAACTATGTTGCTTGGGAGATGATGTCTAACATTAATGGTTTCATTTGTCAAGTTGCTCAGTAAGGGAGTGTTTTTTCTATGTGATATCATTTTGGCTGTTTGAGTCATATGCTCCGCATGGATTTTAAACCCATGTAACTTCATTCTGACCTCGGAGGCCCGTTCTTGTTTTTGTGTAAACAGTCTCCCAGTTTTAGCATGCCACTCGCTGCTTGTATTGTGGTTTGATATGCTTCTTCCCAAGTCACGTTTTAACCTAAACTTTGAGAAGCTATCTGTGTACATCCAGCTGTTTGTCTGTGAGACGTATGATCCCAAAGCGATGAAACTCAGAGCACAATTTTCACCACTGCAAGGGCACATAAGTATTGTAATGTATGAAGATGTATTCTTGTCAATAAGCTCCGAATAAAATCGCATGCAGGATGAATGCATGCATGAGACAGATATTGGGCTATTGATAATGTCTGCTCAAGGAGAGGAGATGGTCTGTTCCAGGGTCACCCGCATGGTTGCTCCTTTGCATGATCAGTACTTGGCTCTGTCTGAAGACCTGCTTAGGCGAAACAGGATCCCTGTGACCCAGTCCAAATAGCAGAACAAGCAAAATAAACACTGAGTTGCGCTCTGTGAGCTCTGAAAACACCTCACAAATCCCATGCTTCAGAAAAGTCTCATAGAGCTTTACTAGCTTTTATGCGAGAAATGCTGTGGCATTTGAATTGGGAGTGGGGAAGGGTGCGCGGAGTCATTTTTGTGGAGCTCATCAGAGCCTGCTTGTAGAACGCACCATCCATCTTCCTTCCCGAGCGCCTCTCAGGCACCGGCTCCTCTGCTTTCACGAGTCCCTCTAGAGAGACTCACATGTTTTCCTGGAGAGAAGATTGAATAAAAGGACTCCCTAGGAATGAAAAAGGCACTCTTACAGTTTTCTACAGTATAAACTGTCTAAAAACTAATAAAATAATGCCTTTCTTTTTTGCCTTTTTTTTTTTTTTAATGCTCTGGTTATCCTCTGGAACTCATTGCCACAAGCTACTGTTAAGACCATGAACTTAGCAGAGTTTAAAAAAAAAAATTAAAAATCTTTTTGGGGATTTAGAGGATCCTGTTATATGAGGTTGAGTTTTCAGGCTGTGCCATACTTGTGGGAATAAACCAATAAGTGGGAAAAAAAGTTGACTGGTAAAGGAAGTTTTGCACCTTCTTTTGAAAAGCCTGTTTGCTGGCAGTGAGATAAAATGCTAGAATAGTGAGTCAGCACCTCTGATGTTGTCTGTTACGGTGCTCTTAATTTTCTGTCTTAGTTTTTTTGCCACTTTCAGCTCCAGACCGCCGGTGGAGCACAGCTATGCCACAGGTCCTTGCTTCTGTGCTTCTCATTCCAGTTAGTGGGGAGCGCTTGTTCAGCTTTCTCAGTCTGTGAGTGGTAGAACACTTTTTTGAATGAATTTGCAGCTTTGGAAATGTTAACGCGATTAACAGCGCTTGTCAGTGCTCAATAAGACTTTTTTTTTTTTTTTTTTTTGGAAAAACGCATTTCGGCATAACAGTGCCATCAAGTAGGTAAGGAAATGTTAGGGAAATGGCTGGCGTTGGCCTAGTTGAGGCAACTAGCAGGGATTTTGTTTGCTGCTCATCACTGCGTGTTGCTCTCGTGAGCTATTTATAGCTTTACTAAGCAAGCAAGCTGAGCGGCCGGATGCGAGCAGGAAGCCAGGAGCACGTCCGTGCCTTCCCACGCCGTCCATGCCTTCCCACGCCGCTGCAGAGCAGCAATGTGGGCCCAGCAGGTGGTTTCTCGGCACGACCAAGTACCCAGTGAGCCCGGCTGCCTTGCTGGGGCCGGATCGCTCTCCAAGAGCGGCAAGTGTATAAGATTTAATTTGCACAAGGTCACTGTAGAGATTAGGTTTGATCCTGTATCAGTCTGTATTTTGTATTCCTGATGTGTACAGCACTCTGAATGAGGAAGCAGAGATGTGTTTTATAGGTGCGCGTTTATAATCAACTTGGAAACAGAAATGAGAAGAAAATATGTCAGAGACAATAAAATTAGCTGTTAACAAAAAGGGAAGTTTTCTTGTTCAAATAGAAAACGAGACTGTACCTTGCTAAACCAGTTTGTCCAGCATCCAGCATCGGGTTTGTTTAAAGAAGGCCAAGACTTTCATTGCCAGAAATTTTGTATTGTAACTTAAGTCTTTTTTGCCCTGTCTTAAAGTGGGAACATGTTTAGTTGAATGATAGCTCTTTTATTTAGCAAAATTGTAACTTCCACAAGCTTCAAGCTTTTTTTTTTTTTTTTTTTTTTTTGGAGAAAAGCTTCCAGGTATTTTTCAATATGTGAATTGTAAATTATTGAGCTTTTCTGCAAGACTACTTGAAAATCTATTTCAAGGTCCAAAGCAACAGCTATCCTAATCAATTTGTGCTCTTCTGAATGTGTTCCAACGTAAAATGGGTAGAGAAATGAGAAGGTAACCAATAACTTGGATAGCAATAGGTAAAATATAGCTATAAAAGTGAAGTTAATAAAATAAAAGTCCTGAAATATACAAAATGTCAGCCTACACACAAAATAAATTAGCTTGTGATTCCAGCTTGGCTGGAAGAAAAAGTGTGTCCCATAAGTGAGCTGGCACATATGCAGTTTGTTTTGCTTTGCTTTGGTGTGAAATCGTATTGCCATTAGTAAAGCTGGGTATTGATCTTTTTTCTTTTTCTTTTTTTTAAATCTTGGACAGTTTATGCCATCATCTCTGTTATCTTGGATTGTGGTTTTTGTTTTGTTTTGTGTTTTTAATTCTTCCCTCGCTCCCATGCACTGGCCAGTTTGTGATTTTCCCAGCTCTTTGCTCATCTGTGCTTGCCATCCCAATGTTGATTGCTGGTTTTGGGGTGGTGTTTCATCCCCCTGCTCCTCTTCCTCATATTTGACACCCACTCTGATCTTTTTAGAAGCGCTTTATCAGCACTTGCTTATGGTAGAAATCACCTGCTTTTTGTTCAGAAAACATTATTAGTGTTCTAGCAATGCTGAGATGGCTTTTATCTCCCTGTGGAATCTCATTAGCTTTACATTACAATAGGAACAGCATATGTGCAACTTTGCCAAAGTGGCCAGTCAATTTAAATTTGTTAATAGCAATATATTTTTTTTTTAAGCAACTTTTTCTACATATTCAAGGCCAAGAGAAAACAACTTTGTTGTTCAGGAAAAAACACAGTTTGTTAGAAGTAGAAGCACAGCAGAAGGAGAGAGCGGCTGCTCATAAATACCTTCAGTACTTTCTATTCTTTTACATGTCTGGTACTGTCCTATAAAAGCACCATCTTAAAAAAAAAATAAAATTCACATAGCTAGTAGGACTTGGTTTACAGTAATTTCTAAACACTACATGAGAAGGTTTTAAAAGAAAGGATTGACTAGAGTTGCACTGTACTATTAATGCACAATTAATCGTTTTATTTCTAATTTTTTTAATTTGTCTGATGGCTCAAGCAGGTTGAGGTCCATTTTGTGGATGTTGTTGTAAACCTGCCAAAACATGCACAGTCTCAAAGGTTTTACCTTCTGAATGTCATAATTGGATGTCCTTGCTCACACTGCTAGGAGCTGCTTTTGGAGTTAGGCATGTGCATGAATGATGGGGAACAGAATCTGTTTCTAAAATTGCAGTATAGCTTAAAACTGGATTGCATGTAGGATAGACTGATTTTATCTAGTGTTCTGTGGAGGAAGTTTGTATAGTGTGAATTAGAGCCTGTCTGTACATGAATTTATTCAGAAATATATCTTTTTCGGATTTACCTCCCTGAATAGCTCCATGCATGTACTTCTCTTTCCACCATGAAAGTTTGAGTACTCTAGCGCAACTCGCTTCAGTGCTGAATTAGGCTAAATACAAATGAGGAACAAGTAGAGTTAGTTGGGAATAACTTTTACAGTTTCAATTCACACTTTGCCTTACTCCAAATTTACTATAGTGTATAGACAAGCCCTAAGAAGAACACTGCTCTTTCTTGTTAAAACTACAAAATACTATTTAATCACCAACTAGGCAATCATGTAGTTGTTGAATTCTTTGATATCACTGATGAGGACCATTAATAGGTTTACAGATCATAAGATGTGGTTGTGTTGTCTGAGTTCTTTAATGGTCTAGTCCAAAGGATTTTGCCAATAACTTCTGCGTTAAGACCATAAGTTCTTATAAGAAGCAGGCTATTGTCCGTGCAATTTATTTTGGGAAGCTCTAAACCTAGAGTTGACAGGTTGAATCCTGCTACTGAGTTACATCATAGCTGGTCAAAAACTACCTCCTTCCAGATTTCCCTTGAGGTCTGCATTTTAAAATTTTAATGATAGAAAATCTATCAAAGCATTGGTTAGTTCTGATTTTTTTTTTAATTATCCATGCTATTAAAAATGTATATTTTATGTCTATTCTGTCTAGCTGTAATTCCCAGATGTCAGATCTTGTTATGGCTCTCTAGTAGATTAAAAAGCTTTCTATCAGAAATCTTTTACTAGTGCAAGTATTTATAAACCATAATCATATTAATTGATTCCTGGTTTCAGAGGAAATGAAACTGAGAGCTCAATTCATATTTGTTCAACTTAAGCAACCTGAAATAGACTACAATAGTTAAGTATTTAAAATATTTATGTTGGAAAGGAGAGTTAGACATTTTTGCATTAAAATGCAGTTTCAGAATTGGTTATTTTTTCCTAGTCTGTTTCTTCTTTTCAGTAAAAAAAGAACAAAACCAAAGCTTGGTTTTTTGGAAGTCTTTATCTTTATTCCCATAACCTAGTCTACCATAAGTACTTAATTTTGCTACAGTATTGTCAGTGTTTCTTCTGTGGAGTAAATCAGTATATGTTAGGGGAATATAAACTCTGTGAAAAATGACCAAAACAAACAAATGGAAGCATATAAAGAGAAAAAGGAGGTTTCCTCTGACATAGCTTCTTTAGTGGCTTAGCTTGTTCATGATTTCACAGAATACATGAGATTTCAATCACAGAGGCGTAGCCAAGGGGGAATTGTTCCACTCTTCTACTGTAGACATCTGAAAGTTAAAGAAATTATTTGCTATGGGTGTTTTCTTTAATATGGTACATCAGATTTTTTTTTGCCCCCCCCCCCCCCCAACCCCCTCCCAGCCCCGCCCAGCCACTCTGAGACTGTGTCTTTGGTACATTCCCTCCTTGGCTCTTCAGCTGGGTTGGCAGGCCAAGGGCAGCGAGTCACGCGTGTTATGTTAGTAGAGCTGGAAGCCTTCCTGCATCACTTAGCTCACTTTAACCACCACTTAGACTCTTTTACTTGACACTATTAGCTTTTGTCATGTTTTCAGACTTCCAAAGCTATGTTTGATTTTTCTCTGTAAATACTGCTTTGTCTGAAATGAGTAAGAGGATAATCTCCTTTTGTCCGATATAGGTGACAGATCATGCAACTACTGCTCTATTGCACTACCAGCTGCCTCAGATGCCAGATGTGGTAGTCAGATCTTTCATGGTAAGTGTATTTGAAAATACGTTCTTACAGATAGACTTCAGCATGGGGACAGCGACTGATACAAGGCAGGTCGTGATGCAGTTATAATTTCACCTATTTAAACAAGCTAGACAGCAGAGGTTGACTGTATTTCTTTACATCTCATACCTGGACAAGGATGAAGATGTCATTCTCGGTACCAGGGGACAGTCGATGTTTGAAGATTGCTCTGTATGTAGTTCTTTTATCACAGATCTTGCTTGCTGTTTCCTATTGGCAAGACTGGTCTGGGTCGTCTCCAAAGCTAACCTGGTCCAGGCCCTTCGCATTGTTCATGCTGTGGATGTAAAAAGTCTGCTCCAGTGAAAATTCCCCAGTAAGAGGAAATTTCCAGTTAACATATTCCAGTGGAGCCAGCTTGCTTATCAGTTTGCCACATATAGCAAATGGCATCAATTATTTTAAAAATAAGGAGAGGAAGGGAAGTAGGGAGAAGTCCTTTTTCCTGCATCCACGTTCCACTCCAACTTTATTCCTAGGGAGTCGCATGTACTCACTTCAGTGTAACAGCAGGTGGTTTCCAGAACTGAGAAAATGCTTACTGAGATAGTCCACCTTTTTTTTCCTGAATACAATGAATTAAATACTAATCTCTCTTGATATGCAGATTTAAGTTGGTCACCTTTAGTTCTGCTTATATTTAGAATTTTGTTTGTGAAATAAATTTAGTTTATTAGCAGCCCTGTTAATCAGAGGGTTGAGGACAAGGGCTTATGATTCAGAATTCCTTCTACCAAGACAAATTTTGGCTGTGGAGACTGTTCTTATTCTCTGTGCCGCGGTCTCCCAAAGGAAGCTTTTGGGGGAGGTTTTCTCTGCTGTTCAGTCGTCTTATTTCATGTGTGATATTGATCCAGAACAAGGGGTAAAGCAATGGAGACTTCTTAAAATCAACATCTAATTTTGCCATTCATAGTTTTTGGGTGTGTAAGGTTTAATTGGTTCTTTTATGTTTTTAATTTCCAATGTGAAATTTCAGAACAGTCAGACTCCTTTACCTGTTGTGCTTGCTAGTTTGTTTATTTAATAAAAGGCCAGGAAAATGAGAGATTTCTGAAAGTCTTTTTTCCTTAGAGTGCATCCTGAAATAATAGGCTTTGAAACGTGAAAGCAACTCTTATTAGTGTAATCCATGTTTCAACATGTGTCTGAAAATACCAGTTTAATAGCACTGGTAGCCCGTTTGTTTAAGACATGGGCCTGCCCTATTGATTTGATAAAGCACGGCTAAAAAATTTAACAAAGCAAAACCAGTTGTACATCAGAAGTGTCAATATATTAGTCCTTTCACATGTCAGTAGTGCAATCCGCTTGACAGGATGTAGTGAAGTCTGAATTTTTTGATGGGAATGAAGAACTACTTTTTTTTCTTTCAACAAATGTATCAAGTGCACAATTTAACTTCATTTACCTATTTTTATATTATGGTTCAGAAAATTCAATTTTTTTTTTTTTTCAGTCATACAAGCAAAGTTCATCCAAGCTGAAGTAAATAACAGCAATTTACTTGTAGTATTCTGTTGCCCTTGTCCCCGTATTTACTGCTAAACCCAGAGAAGATCTAGTTCTCTTGGAGGAGAGTTACTGACGGCCAAAGGTTCGGTTGCTATAGAGAAGGCTCTGATGAAGATGGAAGGATTTGTTTCAATAAACTCGGCTGACCTCTTCTTCAGAGAACAATTTTCTCTTATCGATGTAATTCAATAGGACTTTAAATGACAAGATTCATGTGCATCCTTCACTGTGTAAATCTGCTGGTCTAGGTATTTTTTTTAGTTGTGTATCTCCTTGAGTTTAGAATTGAGTTATGTAATGCTCATTGCTATGTATGACATTAGGAGCAAGCCAGTTAAGAGACAAGAACTCTGCCTAGGAGCACTTCAACTTACTATTTGTTGTTCAACACGTGCCCTTTTTTTTTTTTTTTTTTTTTTTTTTAAACATCAATGTAATCAGATTTAAAATTGTGGAGCATTTTTATGACCAATGAGTATTGATCTTGAAATCACATTAGAAAGGAAGTTAGTTAGCTTGCTGCGAAAGTGCTTGTATCTATTAAGAGTTCAGACTTTTGCAGTATGATTGCAGCTGGGTTATGATAGATGATCATAGGAAGAGACAAACCAATATCCAGTTGACGAGGGTACCCCTCAAGAATAATTATATTCCAGTAAAAATATGATGAGCCTTTGGTGGTGATTCTCTAGCTACAACTACCTCCTGCTCAGAGCATGTGATTTTCTATTAACAAAGTTACTTAAGCAACTAAAGAAGAAAAAAAAAATTAATAAAGTGGAAATTCAGCTATGTAGTGACCTTGTCATCTTCTACATGTTTTCTCTGTTTATAAAATCACTGTATACCTCACTGGGGCATAGCCAAAGTACGTTCTCTGTCCTTGGTATCGCTCTTTGACAAGAATGATGACACAGGGGAATGTCCATATCCAGTTTCTTAAATTTCTCTCCCTTTTCCTTTTAGACCTGGTTAAGAAGTTACATAAAGCTGTTCCAGGCTCCGTGCCAGCGCTGCGGAAAGTTTCTGCAGGATGGCCTGCCGCCCACGTGGAGGGATTTCCGAACACTCGAAGCTTTTCATGACACTTGCAGGCAATAGTCGCACAGCCCAGCCGTTGGCGTGTATGGACAGAACAATCTGTCAGGCTCTGAACAGAGCTGCTGGTTTAATAGCTGGTTCCATTTCTGAACCTTTCATCCTGTGCTAAGTAGTAAGGTTGCACTAATACGTTTGACTGTTTAGTAGCATCTATTTAATAGTGATCGCTCTGCTAGGTGCAGGAGAGCCTAATGTGTACAGGTGACGAGGGTGAGAAGCTGTGTGTGATTGCTTGATGCTTCTGTGCTGAAATGATGTTTGGGCTCTGATGCTTGTAATCATTATCCTAAACAATAATAAGAATATCCATGTACAGTATGTGTTTTGCTACAGAACTTGCACCGATGAAGACTTTTATAAGCTTGAAATAAATTTTGTATTCCAGAATTTGTGCTATTTATTTCATGATCTGATCAACAAAATGCACGGTTTGGGTGTGAATTTTTCAAAGCTGCTCTTTTCTTTAGAAAAAACTGGAAACATTTAAACATACATGCTGATATGATAGGGGTTTTGTTGTTGTTGCAAGGCTGCTTATCTGTGCTGCTGGTCTTTTTCTGGAAGAGATTATGGTGTTGATTAAACATGGAATTTCAAAGGCATGTGGCAGCTTGGAAGATGGGAATGTACTTTCTGAGGCAGGGGGAACAGATGTTTCCTTTTACTAAAATTGTAATGAAAAATGTTAGCAAAATTTGCAAGTATTAAGTGGTTAGAGAATGTGTGATGAGCAGTGGCAGTGTGTATAAGTCACTTGTCCCATTTTAGAACTGAAAGGAGTAAAATAAATTCAGCCTTAAAACATAGCTTCTGCAGCACAGATGCATGCAACGTGTTTCTTCAATGGTTTAAAATTTACGTGCAACACATGAGTGAGGTGGGAAATGTCCCTCCCGGTGATCGTTCCACCTGGATGGAAGTGTCTAGCTCCTACCAGCCCAGGCCATGCATCTGTCAGCCCAGAGCCTGGCAAGGTCTCTGCTTTTGTCCTGGCTGAACGCTTGTTGACCTGGAAGTATCTTCCAAGGTATTTTCTTGAGAACTGTACATTTCATCTGTCATCCCCTGCTAGCTAATCTGCCCACATTTCCCTCCAGCGCTTCCTTGTTGCCTTTACAAGCCACAAAGGGTTCCATAATAAGTTCACCTTTGGGAGCCAGCAAGAGGTCTGGAGAAGCACTTTGTCACACTGTGATTTTCTTCTTCAAATAATTTGATTTTTGAATTAAGCTGATATGAAAAGCTTCTGGTGCTGAAAGAAAAAGTGTCCCTTTCAGAGGCTTTGGTGGTGGTAAGGTCTGGTTTGGTTTTCGGTGAGGAATGCTGAGTGAAGTTACCACACTTAGTAATAATTTAAAAAAAAAAAAAAAAAGGCAGGAATGGATGACAAGAAGTTACACCCTTGAGAAAAAATTAAAAAAAAAAAAAAAAAAGGCAGGAATGGGAGAGACTTTTTTTTTTTTTCCAAGCCATGTGAAATAAGGTGTTCAGCAATTTTAAAATACTCATTTAATTTAATTCAAACCTGCAGCATTTATGAAATAACCTGTTCAACAGCCTTGGAAACCAAAAAATGAAGAAACTTGAGTATCACCCTGTACTTGGATGGTGCTGAATTAACTGTGTTTATTGATAGCATAAAAGACTGAGCTTCCAAAGACGACAGCTTCTGGTTGTGAGGACGGCGAGTGGTGTGGGAATTTCATCTTTCTGGGTATAGCACTCTGCAAGCCTGGCTCCTAGAAGAGAGACACTTGAAAGAAAATATGCATTTATGACTTCCTTCGGAGGCACAACGTTGTGTATGAAGAATGAATGTATATTTGTTTGAGTGCATTGGTAAGTGATATTTCTTTTCTCGCTCTTTCTTTCAATCACCGAGCAGAAAAATTTCCATGAGAGGGGGCTCTTATGGACAGTCGATGGCTGTTTCAAATCCAGCTGCAGTTGTATTACCTAATGAAAACTTGTCATGCTGTTATGTGACCCAAGTAGCCGCCTTGGTGCAGAGATCAGCCAGGACAGAACGGTACGCGCATCTGAGATGAGAGAGCGCCTTGTGGATAAGCGGGTCTGCTCTCAGTCCCGTTACTATACTAATTGGAAGGACTGGGTTTCTGATGGCGTAAGCATTTTGTTGTTGTTAATAAAAAGGTCATAATAAGATATCCAGCCTGCTTTAGGGGCTGCTGTCTGCTGCATTTTGTTTATACTTGAACAATGGTGTAGAAAGCAAATCCCAAAGTTCACAAAAATGTTATATATGGAATCATGTGTTGGCACTTGGAGATAATTAGTTGTAGAAAGCAGCATCAGCCAGTCTGTGTGTTAATTGAGCCTGAAATTTCAAACTTGTAATTGGTGAGCCTGATGAAGAGTCATAAAACTCCAGTGTAGGTACCTGAGTACGAAAATAATTGTGTTGGGAAAATAGAACCCTGACCTGCTTGGCATTTTTCTTCCAAAAACAGAAGACAAAAGCCCTGCAACAGGAGGGAATCTTCTCCTCTCTTACAGGCCCCCGGAGAAAGTGTCCTGTAATGCTCTGTGGTGTAGCCTTTTATTTCTATCCTTGCAACCTTTTAAAGTGTAACGGGCTGGAATACTTCCATTGTGAGGAATGGAAGTTAACTGTCTAAACTCTTCTAAAGCTTATATACATTTCTGCAGTTTGGATGCAATATGTGCTTGTCTCTGCTTATTGTCCTGGAACTTTAAATTGCTCGGCGGTGAGTGCCTGATTATTGCTGAGATGGGAGTTTCCAAGCCAAGCAGAAGCAAGCTTGGAGGCTTGAGTGCAGGGTACTGGACCTGGGGATAGGTCCTAACTAAAAAGCTGTTCTCACGATGAAGCATTTTGCTGTTCTTCCTCCAGCTTTGGAGGAGTGACTTGGGTACTGGATATTCGTTTCTTTCCCACTCTTATTTTAAGGGGATGGGTGGCAGAAAGTTTTACTGCAGGATGGGTAACCTTAGATTTTGTCATCATGGGAGTTTGTTGCAGCTTCTTAAACTGGTCGGAGCTTTAAGGCAAACAACAAGGAACACGTTCCCTGAAGAGTGGTTGGCTCTCACTTCTAGAGCTGCCTTTCTCATGGTGCCTTATTCCTGCAAGGCAGCTGTCATTGCAGCATCGTAACAACCAAAAATGAGAGAAGGAAAAGGAAGCTAGGCTACGTGGTCCAACTGTCGTGCTGCTTTCAGTGGCTCAGGTAATGGGTTGTATGTTACAGAGCTGCATTGTTCCGGCGTTCTAGTTTATAACATATTAATCTTGCTTAATACTGTGGAAAAAAGTGCCTTGCCTTGTTCTGTTTAATCTCATCTTGGTATCACTTCTCCTAATCAGAACATGTGGTCTCCTATTGCATCCCTGATGTGAAAAAATCCCTTTTCATTTTCCCTTGTGCAAAGCCCACCTACTGTTCCTGTGGAGTTTGCAGGTGCTAAAGGTTACAAAATCCATCTTTTCTCTAAGAAAGCAACTTAATTAATGTGAAAGTTTCTCTCACGAAGGGAACCCTCAGCAGATACGCAGTGCGTATTGCGGCCAGCTCCCCTCTTCCCTCCCAGCACCCCTCCCCAAACCACTTTAATTTCTCTGCCAATATTGGACAAATGTAACAGGCTGACTTTTTAATTTTCTACTCCCAGGTCTCCCTTGTCCCCTCATGCATTTTTCATCACGACTCAAGGCTCCCTCCCTGCCTGCCCTGTGAACAGTATTGATCGACTGATTAAGCCATCAAGCCATGGCAAACAACTTTAATTTTCTAACCAAAGCCTTTTAGTTCTCTTCCTTTTCTTGTATATTTGTTGCCTTCTTACGGAATTTTTAATGTCTCCTTGGAAACAAATACATTTTTTAAATTAATCCCTCAGTTAATTGGGAGCTTGGCACCACTGATAGCAATGCACATTACATTTCATGGGTTAATATTTGAAAAAGAGAAAGCTGGTAGTGCTAGCTACAGTCCCCTGATTCACAGTCAGAATCATTCCCATCCAAGCTTCTGGAGAGGGCTTGACGAACGTTCATGGTGCTTGCCTTTGTCTTTGGTCTCTCCCAATAGCATTATCGTAAACTTTGCTAAGAGGAGCTGAAGCCCACGGCAGTAGTGCAGCGTGTCTGATCATACGCAACAGCACTAGTTATCTGGGCTCTCCTGATCCCAGGCTCTGCTTCTCAAGGTCTTGGACTGCAAATTATGTTCTCGGCTAAACCCACTGATGGCGCATCAGATTTCCTATGTACCACTGGCTGCATGCGCTGAAAACAGTTCCTGCAAGTGTGTCCAAGACCCGGCTTGTCTTGCCGAACGCTTCTAAGCAATGATAGTGTTGAAGGAGACTCAGCCGACCTGAATGTCAGGGCTGGCAGGTGGGTAAAGACATCTTACTTGCAAACTTGGTATGTGTGGTTTCAGCAAGGCTTGTCAGAGTTGCTCTGTGAGTTTGCAAATTGCTTTTCAGAGTGAAAATGCGGCTCAAGTAGGGAGATACCTGCGTGTGACTGGAAGCCTTGCAGCTCTGCACCGTGGAGCGAGTCTGCAGCCCTGTCTCGGTGCTTTTGGGAGCAGTGAGTCCTGAAGAGCGCCGACGGTGAATTGTAGCATTTGTGGAGGATGCTCATTGTATGAGTTTTGGCTCTACTGCTGATTCCAATCTGTCCAAACCTGTGAATCAGAACTAGAAGTAAAACCCTCCAAAGGAAGTGGACCACTGTCACAATTCCTCGTTGCTCCCCTCTGGTTGCAGAGCTCAACCAATTCAGAAAAACACAGCGGAGCCTTTGGAGAAGGGAGATGGGTCTCTACATGCTTATAGCTAGGTTGTTAAGCAAGAGGCTCCGCTGTCGGATTCAATAGCGCTGTTACCCACTGGTAAGCGTAAACCTGAAGTGTTTCTATCGCTATCCACACCTCTGCCTGTGTGAGCCTATTACGGATTCATGCTATAGATTTAGTTCAAATGCATGCAATAGGGTGACAGATCAACCTCAAAGCTGGCTGTTATTGCTGGTTTCATCAGTGAGTTTAGCACCGTAATCCATTTCCTGGACTGCCTCCCCCCCGGCTTAGGCGTGGGAACTCTTCCCTTGATCTGGGCTGAATGTAACGGTCTGCGTCTAAGTCTCAAATTCCCTTGGTTTATCACTAATGCACCGTTGCAGTGCAAGGCTTTTGTTCTTCCAAACTCACCCGCTGTCCTTGGGAAGAGGAGATTTTCTGCAAGTACGTGGGGGAAGTGACTGGCTTGACTGAGGGTTTGTTTTATTTTTTCCCCCATCAAAAGCGTGCTGTTTAGCCCAGGGGGAAGCTGTGGTCAGAAGCAGCCCAGCTAGGGTTCGAGCTGGCTGCTTAGGGAGGAGCTGGCGTGGTGGCGCGGGGGCTTGTTTCACCCATCTCGGTTTGAGGGACTCTGGATCTGATCAGAATATCAGATAATTAGTTCCTATAAAAATGTGCGTGTGTCACGAACTTGTTAGAATTCTTGAGGTTTTTGTCGTCGTTTTTTTGTTGTTCTTCCCTTTTCAAATCAAATGATGAAAACAAAAGACGTCTCCAGGTTTGCTCCCTGTTCCTGTGAGGAGAGCAGTGAACCTCTGGGAGGTCAGTGTGTATTCCTTGGCAGC